ACTACCATTATCTTCGGATATAATTTGCTGATCTGTATTTTCTTGTTTTTCAACTGAAATGTCAACTTTCTCATCCAAATGTTCTAAATCATCCTGAAATTAACGATATATATATATATTATACGTTAAAGTTTTATTTCATTTATCGATAACAAGTAATAGTACCTCAAAATCTGCATCTTCCGTTTTTCTTTTTGTCAATTTATCCATATTATTATAATAATAATAATAAGTGAAATAAATAAATCATAGAATAAATTGATGTTACATGAGCGTTTTAGCGATTTGATAATAAAATTACCATGGTAAATTAAATTAAATGGCAAAAAAAATAAAAAACAAATATAAGTAGATATTAAAATTATACATGTTTTATTCTCCAAAAAATTAGGATTTATTAATAGGCTTAGCAATTTATTTGGGCATCATATGTTTCTTTGTTTTTGTCCTATTATTAGGACCGTCTTCAAGATTCAGGTGAATAATGATAATGATGATAATAATAATAATCACTTTATTATATATACACACACACATGTATATATAGATCTGAATTATTGTCAAAATTTTCAGAAATGGACCAATTGGAAAATTATATAATTTTTTAACGGCAACATTAATTGAATGGATATGGTAATTATTTTTGCAATAATTTGTGATTTTCTTTCTCATAACATTGCTTGAATTGACATGCTTACTTTTTAATTTAAGGATTTATCAAAAAAAATTTGTGGGAATAGCATGTCAAGAACTTTTGATCGTGCTTATAATTATTATGCAAAAGAAAAAAAATCCAATTTTACAATAGTGATTTAATATTGAAAAAAATGAAAATCTGAATATTGATTTAATTAATATTTATTATAATATTATTGGTTATTATTTAGTTCTTTTTATTTATTTTTATTATCAGGATCCATTTGGATGGGATCATATTCCTGGACCATGTATTTCCAAATTACACATGTGAGTAAAAAACTATTGTTTTAATTAATTTTATTATTTATGGTGGTGATTTATGAATCTAATTATTTGTCCTTCATATAAACACATGATTCATATTATTTAGATTGCTCATTTCAATAATAATAATTTTTATGTATTTAACATTTTATAAAGCAAGTTATAGTGATCCTGGAAAAAAATGTTTCAAGGGCTTGTGAAATGTTTAATTATGATTTTTTGCTATTCAAACCAAAAATCTGTAAAACTCGTCTAATACAAAAGTAAGGACTAATGATGAATGATAATAATAAAAACTTTTACTAAATAGCTTTATTATTATTTATGGAAAGGTCAGCAAGATCAAAACATTGTTCATTATGTAAATGTGTGTAGCAAAATTAGATCATCATTGCAAGTGGTAAAATCAATTCAAACTACAAAACAAAAAGTTTATCAAACTATATAATATTAATATTATTTTATTAAGTGCATGGATTAATAATTGTGTTGGATTAAACAATTATTTTTATTATTCCATTATTATTCCATTATTCAATAATTCAGGTATATTTTTATGGTACATATGTTATATTTAATATATTCTTGGGATTTGCTAAAAAAATGAATCTACAATATGTTTACACTACAAATATACAAAACTGGTGTAAAAAACCCACTTAGTATTTATCAGGGAGCTTTGGTGATAAATGATTATAGAGTATAATAAATTTAACTATTTTTAATATTTGATATTTTTAACACTTCATTTATTATATTAAACTATTTTCAATTTTGCTACACAGCTTTTAATTCATCAAGAAATGTTGTTGGGTGGACTTGGAATCTTTTCATTATTAGTAAGATTTGCAATAACATTTTTTCTTTGTTATCAATTTTACTTGATTTATTATGGGACAACTTCAAATGAAGCTTTTAAATGGGAAGATTTAGATGAAATGATTTCTAATGATGAATTATGGGTTTATGATGGAAAAGACCTTAAAAATAAACAAAAAAATTTATCACCATCATCAATATCATTGTCATATAATAATAGTAATTCTAAAAAGAAAGCAAAAAGAAATGATGCAGGAGGAAATAATAATAATAATAATAATAGAAAGAAGAAATGCTTTTTAGAAGAAGGACTAGTGATATGTCTATTTATTGGGTTCAGCCAAATAATAAACAACGTCAAATACCCAGTGATAGTAATATCAATGGTAATAGTAATAATGGTAATGATGTAAATATACCAGATCCAATAGTACAATTAAAGTATTGAAAGTGGAAGCAGCAATCAATGTTATAATAAAGAAATAAATAACCAGGATATTAACTAAAATAATAATAAGAGAGTTATAGGAAGACCAATAAAATCACTGAAAGAAATTAAAAATGTTTATGATAAAGGACTATTTGGAAATTTTGTTTCCTCCTGCATTAGAATAATTAATTAGATTATCATATTAAATTATATATGATATACGTTGCATGGCATGATTATTTATTCAGAGAACTACATGATCCTAATAAAGAGCTGAGTGAACTTTTATTTTATATTTTTGATGGCGGTGATGATATTACGCCAATATTATTACCAGTAATAGTTATAGATGTGAATAAAATAATGTTTTTAACAAATTAAATTGCTTTTATGGTAAATAAAATTCAACTATCCAAATGGTCTTTGATAACTAAGAGCAAACTGGTTCGGTTGTGGTCCATTAAGTCTGGACCGGATCATTAAGTAAAAATTAACGACTGGGACTGTTTGAATGCATTCCAATTCAATCTCTTGAAAGTATATTATTATGACATTTTTTTATTATTGATGAAAATTATTCTAACAAGTGCTTTTATTATTAAATAAATCATTAAAAGAAATTTTCATATTAGCTTTATTATTATTAAAAATTAAACATTTTCGCTCACTATGTGATACTTGATCTTCTTTTTAACGACTGCAATTGACCGAAATTGCATTCTTACTTTTCAAGTTTTGGACTAAACCATTATAATCAATTCGAATAGTAGAAAATGCATAATCTAATAACATTAATCTTTCTTGAATTGCCCTCTGTGTGATAGTGGCTACGATATCATTATCATTATCATTATCATTATCATTACGTGTTGTGGTAGTAATGGTCATGATGTTATTATCATATGATAAAACCGTAGTGAACAAATTAAAACAGAAAATTTTTCTACTCATAATTATCATACAACTCTAGAGACTTCATATGGATTTGAAAGGTTGAAGTGACCAAAATTGTTGTATTTTCCTTATTTCATTGGTTAAGACGTCGTCGACATTAAATATTTCTTCGGGTCCGATATGTTGGCTTGGAGTAACCTATTACAATAATCACATTGCAACCAAGTTATTTATTACGAAGTCACCAAATCTAGCACACAACCAAGGTAATTCCAATAAAATAAAATCGCCACATACAACCATACTACTTGAGGCGTCCCTACAAGCAATATAACAAAATCAAAAGGGGTCCCTTAAATAATGATTAAAGGTTGGCCAAAACATTAATATTAATCACCAGAAAGGGTTATGAATCAACATATCAGCCGATTTGGTTTTTCGGATCCTTTTTTCAAACCTTATACAAAAACCTTTATTAACTGATGTACAAATGGAGAACCGACTTAATTGGTGTTTGGAGAAGCAATCATGGTCTATTAGAAAGTGGGGAAATGTTATTTGGTCAGATGAATCTAGGTTTGCAGTTTTTAACAATGATGGTCCAAATCATGTCTGGAGAACTTGCGGTACACGTTTTGAAAAAACAAAATTTGGTACCAACTGTGAAACATAATGGTGGTAGCATTATGGTTTGGAGTTGCTTTTCAAATAGAGGATTAGGACCCCTCGTTTTAGTAGATGGAACTATGGATAGATGGGATTACATTGAAATAATGAGAAGACATCTGTTGCCCTACATTGAGAAAAAATTTCATGGAAAAGGTTATCTTTTTCAAGATGACAATGCCGCAGTGCATACTGCACGAGATGTAATGGCTTGGATCAAGAAAAATAAAATTAGAACATTAACGAATTGGCCTTCACAGTCACCCGACTTGAATCCAATAGAACATTTATGAGCAGAACTTGAAAGACGACTCAAAAAATCAAAAAGAAAGCCTAAAAATAAAAAGGAATTGTTTAATATTTTAAAAAAGGAATGGGGTGAAATAGATAAACAATATTATATTAATTTAATATCAAGTATGCCTAGGAGAATACAAGAATGTATTAATAGTAATGGTGGCTCTACAAAATATTAATAAAAAAAATTTTTTTTGGGGTGGTCCATGACTTTTGGGAGGTGAGTGTATCTTATTGTGTCTCAACGTTAAACACGGGTATTTTTAATGTGTAAACTGGTCAGTGGAATGATAATTAACCCTAAAAAAAATTTATTTGTTCCGTTAAAAAATTATTTTACTATTCAACAACCCGTCAAACCAATGACCCATCTCAAAATCTATGGGGTTTTTGCTAGTATAAGTATTCATAATGTTATGATCATACCGTACTGAATTTTGTCGTCAAACAAAATCAGCACATATGTATAATAAGATTATGATTGATTTTAAGTTTTCCTTTCTATTACCAAATAGTCATGATAAATAGAATAGCCAAATTATGATATCAATCATGGCCTCATCACGTACATAAACCACTGCATCAATTTGATGAGTTGTTGTTGAACCTGAATCGAATCTGAACTAATAAAGTAAACAAAAACTTGATTTCCTTGTCAATATTACAATTGTTAGTCTGTGTCTTATTATCTTTTGTTTGTTACCTTGAAGATTTTTTCAAAACCATTAAATAATTTATTCTGTTGGAGATCTCACCAAGAGGTCTTTTTTATACTGCTTTTTTTTAGTATTATTATCATTAAAAGAGCTAGAACCAACTTCCAAACAAGCAACATATAATATAATCAAAACCAAATACTCGAGGCTCAGAAAGTCTAGAACACCCCCAATCTATCGTTTAATAGAATAAATAAACGAATTAACAGCTGTCGAGGAAATTTTTTAGCCAAAGTACTTCATCTGTATGTCCTTTTGAAAGTACTTATTTTATTTATGACTAATAATAAAATTTTCCATTTGACTTATAGTATATAGCATTCGATAATTGATATCAGTGGGCACAGTTCAATGTCTAATAATTTTTGTTAAACCTAAAAATCCCTTCCTTTTATTATTTTTGCCTTGAATCACTATAATTTATT